GGGTGGAGATTTTAATATTACAATGAGATAAAAGGAACTGTAGATGACTCCATGGGTTACTCCATGGTCCATCTGCTTAGGGGTCATGGGGATTAAGCTCAAACTGGGCCAGCCCAAGCTCTTCCTCAGAGCAGTCAGTACCCTTTGTTGGGTAGTTTCTCTTTCCCTGGAAGGACGCTCTGCACACCTTTGAATAAAGGAAAAGATAAGGTGGAAACGAGGTTAAGTAAAATGTGGGACAAAGGTCGGAGGGTACTAGCAGGTAAGCAGGGAAAGTCAGGTCAGGTCGTGGGTCTAGCTGGTGACATTAACTTGTCCTTTCATCTTAGGGACCATTGTGAACTCTACCAATGGCCACTTGGTCACTGTGGTATTTATTGCAGGGACTGCTGACATTCAGGGATGTGGCCATCGAATTCTCCCAGGACGAGTGGGGATGCCTGAACCACACTCAGCGGGAATTGTACAGGGATGTGATGTTAGAGAACTACGGACACCTCCTCTTCCTGGGTGAGAATAACTCCTTCCAGATTTCCCAAACCACACTCAGGGTTTTGTTCCTTCCTTTGAAGACTGTGTATTAGAAGATTCCTCTTTGAATGTTGGGAATTCAGATCCAGGCAATAAGGGAAATAAGTAGGGGTTTGTAGATGTAGAGAAAAATCTTCCTGATGCTTCCTTTTCAGCGTTAGCATCTCCTTCCTTAAGGGAACGTCATCATTTCTGTAGGTGAGTGGCGATTCTAAACAGTGAGTGGCAAAAAATGGTACTGCCCACATCATCTTCTCCAATTTCCACTCACTACTGTCTAGTACTTGGAGGTGGAGGTCAGGATGTGAACATTGGAAATCTCTCCTGTGTCTTCTAAAGGGGCTGTTGATCAAGAGCATTTGGGAGGTCATTTTTAGATGCTTCAAATGTCCTGTCTTCTGTATTGAGCACGATATTGGATTGAAAATCTCCAGCAATACTCCTATTCATTCCTTTTTTTCTAATAACCAGGTCTCATTGTGTCAAAGCCAGACCTGGTCATCTATTTGGAGCAAAAGAAGGAGCCTTGGGATGTGAAGAGAAAGAAGACAGTAGCCATCCACCGAGGTAGGTGGGAATGAATGAAGCAGATGACAGAGGTGAAGTCCAAATGTGAAGGAGGACAATGACCTTAAAATGTGGTTTGAGTAGCTCTCCATGAATGGAAATCTTGAGAAACCTATTTTTCTCCCTCTCACCAAGAGATACCTGCTATCCAACATTATCAAGCTCTTACATTCTCTAAGGATTCTCCTTCAGCTCCAGTGATGGTCCATCACATCCACAGGGAGGGCCAAGGGACTCTCCTGGGAGTGGGAGGGCCTCCATTGTCTAAGAACATCTCCATAGCTGTGAGGAAAATCTCCCTATTTCTGAGGACCTTAGTGTTAAGCCCTTCGTAAGTTCTGTTTGCCTCATATGAAGAGTGTCAGGGTGGTTGTAGGCATATTGGGGTTTGGTGTAGAAATCCCAGGAACACTGATGACAGACATCCCATGTTTTCTGTTTTATGCTTTCCAGTGTTTGGAAGGTTTAATTTTAATTGTACAAAATTGAGACTCAGTAATTTATCAGATGATAAAGCACTTCCCTAAAATAAGAAAATCTAATCCTTTATTTCACTTCAAAAGTTAATTTTTTGTCTGTGAACTGAAATTAGAAATTATCACTGTGTTTTCCATTCCTCAGTGGTGAAATAATGTAATGCATCTATTTGTATCCTAGAATTCCTACCTGAATTAATGCCACAGGGGAACTAGAACATTTAGATCTTAGAACCTTAGAACTCACATCCTATATTAAATTCTCAGTTGTTGCCTTATTTCTTAGTAATTGGATCATTTTATAATTTTGTATTCTTTTGAGTTTGTCATGTGTTTTTTTCACTTTCTTATTAGTTACATGAGAGATTCCTCTCATGTTTTAGATCAAAATTTCTGATATGACATGGGCATGTGCTTTATAAGAAGTGAGGTAGATAATTAGTAAATCCCCATTTTTTTTTTTTTTTTTAAGATTTTATTTATTTATTTGACAGAGAGAGACACAGCGAGAGAGGGAACACAAGCAGTGGGAGTGGGAGAGGGAGAAGCAGGCTTCCCGCGGAGCAGGGAGCCTGATGCGGGGCTTCGATCCCAGGACCCTGGGATCATGACCTGAGTTGAAGGCAGACGCTTAACCAACTGAGCCACCCAGGCGCCCCTCATATTTTCTTTTTTAAGATTTTCTTTATTTATTCATGAGAGAGAGGGGGGGGGAGGCAGAGGGAGAAGCAGGCTCCCTGCCCCGTGGGACTCGATTCCAGGACCCTGGGATCATGACCTGAGCTGAAGGCAGGCGCTTAACCGACTGAGCTGACCTGGTGCCCCACACCTGTGATTTTTGATAAGTTAATTTTAACGTATCACTGTGTTCATGTCTTGATTTAGCCTATTTAGAATTTACCAGAGCATGAATTTGTGTCTTTGTTCCCCATATGTCACTCTCTCCTTATGGGGTCCCCTTAGTGTACATATTGGACCACTTGTTGGTGTCCCAACAACTCCTTAGAATCCTTCCTTTCCGGGCGCCTGGGTGGCTCAGTTGGTTAAGCGACTGCCTTCGGCTCAGGTCATGATCCTGGAGTCCCGGGATCGAGTCCCGCATCGGGC